GATGAGAGCAAAAAGAGATCTTAGAGCAGAGGCCCTGGGAGCTTTGCAGGGCATGTTGTTCTTTGTTGTGTCTTGTTCTGTCCAGTTTTTACCGCCTGCATGTGAATCAGAGCTGTACCTTATGATTCACTGGAGCTTCTTGAATGAGAGCCTTTTGATTCTGGAAAAGGGGATATAGTGACAAAGCAGAAGAGTGGAGGAAAACTATTAAAATTTTAAAAGGTTGTAGTTTGTATAGCCAGCAGTGCCTTAAAGCTTTATTTCTCATTCTCCCCTGAGGGGTGTTCTTTCTACTTGAAAATTTCAGCTTCCTTATTTTTAATTCACTGTTTACACAAACTGGTCTAACACCTTTGATTGGACTGGGGGGTGGGTAGGCAAGTGTTTATATTGTTTGAAAACTTCCCTGGAAAATCTTTAACCTGCTTGTATTAAACTTATACAAAACATCGAGAGTTACCAAATATCCTTTAAATTTCTAAAGAAGCAGCAGTCTAATAATTCTGTTTTCTCTCCCTGCCATCAGGTATCTTAAAATAAAGGTGAATTTGGAAACTAATGAAAGGTAATCTTTCATACATAGTTGAAAATTCAGAAGTAGTAAGACACCAAGACTGTCTTTCAAGTAGTATTTCAGACGTAGCAACTTGGTAAAAATCTACCAAACAAAAATAAGTTTTGTCAGGCTACACTTCTGAACCATTTTTCAAATGGAATTCTCAAGTAGCTTTACTACTTTGTCTTCTCTGGAATGTTACATGGGTATGAGTATAAGGTTCCTTAATGAATGTTTGTCTTTTTAACCTATCTGCAGTGGAAAGTAAATAACTGCCCTCCATATCATCATCTTGCTTTAAGGATTTCCTTCAGGCATTTTGGGTTCACTCAGTTAATTTGTCCCAGCATCCTCTTAAGCCTCAAACTTTCCATCCTCTGGAGTTTGGTGCCTGTTCTTGCCTTATCTCTGAGCTTTCATCCCTGCTATCCTGAAAGCCCCTTCTCCTTCCATTCCCTATTGATTGCCTCTTTGCTACTAGTTCCATCTCCTAGGAGACTACTCTGTAAATCAGAGCATGTCAGCTTTTTTTTTAAACTGAGTTCTTTTAAGAAATAACTCCCTTGGTTCCTGAAGATTCTGAGAGCCTCTAGGAATGGGGAAATATACCCCCAAGACAGAATCAACAAAAAGGCTTCAGAAATGCCACTTCAAAAGCCTAACAAGATAAATTATTAGAGAAAGCAGTTTATTGCATTTGATTACTTAAAAATAGACGTCAAAAAACACCCAACTGTAAAGAGCATGTTTTGTTTGTTTTTTCCCATGATAGAAGACATCAGTTTGTTTTCATTTGGGAATTCTTTCTCCATCCAGTTCAGAAGATGGAACCTGGCCACAGGCAAGATTTTATGTATGTCTGATCTTTTGATTTCTAGGTACTTTGTCCTGGTTGAAAAAAGTTCCTCTTGTGTAGTTATGCTATGAAAATAAAAACCAAAAACGTGAGAGCGATCCACCTGACTTAGAGAATGTGTGTGTGTAAGCAAGTACTCTTACTGAACCATTCTAGTTTGTCAGTATTATATTTGAAATTTTAGCTGATTTAAAGAACGGTAACAGATAACATTTATGTAGAATGTAGATGAAGAAATATCTGGGTCAGGTGTTTTATAATGAAGTGTATCTTGGAAGCAGCCTTGTTTTATGATCATTCTGCTTGTTTGTGATGACAACTAAGCTGCATATCATAAATTCCTCGATTCTCTGGTTTGGTGAGAATAATTGCTTCCCTACCCAAGGGGTGGCAGCAGAACACATACCATACTCTCCAGTGTACTTTTGATCGACTTATAGTTTATTGGGGAAAGTATCATAAAGGTTATAAACCAGACTTCTAGGTTTTGAGTAGACATCCCCAACAGAAACAGTGCTGGTTTTGGAGATGTCAGTCAGCTGACAATCTAAGCGTGACTATTTTTGGTGGTGGAAGGACTGGATAGCCAACTTGTCTGCTTGTGGAAAAACACAGGTCTGGCGGACCTGTGGAATTTACCACTAGTAGGAATTTCTACAGGGCAAGGTCTCATGTAGATAAGGTCTCTTTCCAGTGCTAATACTGAGGAGAAAACAAACACTATGGTGCACATTTGTTAAATTAATTTACCCTATGAAGAAATGTTTCCAAGGACCTGATTTCACATTTTCAGACTTTAAACACTTAAAGTTACAAAGCTAGCAAGGGTTTTTTTATACTTTTGTTTGTTGTTCCATTCACTGTGTCTCTTCTTTCTTACTAGTCACTGGCACATAAGCCCATTCGACTTGATGTTGTACGCAGCTTTCCAATGTTTTTCTTGCCAGCTTCCATTGGACTATGGATGTATGAAATTCTACTAAAGTTGGCATATTGGACTATTGTGATACTATGCAAGCTCAGTAATTAGGGGAAAGTTTAGACTTTCTGGGAGTCTTCCCAATTACTGTTTCTTAAACTTGTTGTGGCCCTCAAGGACCTGATCTATAAAGACCTCAGGAAGTAACTTTCTTACAGAGTCATTAAGTATCAGGTAGAAACAGTTTGTTAAGTGATATCACATTTCTTAAGGTACCTTGGCTCATACCAGATCTTTTGCCTGCAAGATGTAAATCAGCTTAATTTATACCGATAGCTGTTGTAAGAAAGCTAGCCTTCAGATCTGGTCAGAACAGATTTGGGGCTGTTAATTTCGTGTGTGTGTGTGTGTGTGTGTGTGTGTGTGTGTGTGAGTGATTTGATTCCCATTGCCACTTGTTTGCCTTATAAAATGGTAATCTAGATTTTTTTTTTTTAACATAGTAAATTGACATTTTATTCTTAATTTAGTAAGCACATTTCTCAGGAAGACATAGTTTTTCTGTGGCTTTTCTAGAGAGTAAGCTGTTGGGTTGAGACCAAAAAGTGTATATTTAAAGGAATATCCTATTATGTATTGTCTATGTCTTTCCCATCGATATTTTTTGGTTTTTTTTTTTTTTTTTAAAAACAGCCTCATTTAGATATAATTAACGTGCTATACTATCAAGGTTCATCCATGTTGCAGCACGTATCAGTACTTCATTCTTTTTATGGCCAAATAATATTCCATTGTGTGGATACATCACGTTTTGTTAATTTGTCTATTGATTGACATTTAGGTGTTATGAATAATCTGGTATAAATATTCATGTACAAGTTTTTGTGTGGCCATATTTTCATTCTCTTGGTTAAATAGCTAGAGGTGGAATTGCTGGGCCAGACTGTTTTCTAAAGTGGCTGTATCATTTTACATCCTACCAGTGATGAATAAGATTGCAATTTCTCCACTTGGCCTCATTAACACTTATCTGTCTTTCTGATGATTATAGTCATCCTAGTGGGTATGAAGTGATTTCTTGTTGTGGTTTGGTTTGCATTTTCCTGATGACCAGTAGTGTTGAGCATTTTTCCATGTGCTTATTGATCATGTGTCTGTCTTTGGAGAAAGGTCTATTCTGATCCTTTGCCTATTATTAAATTGGGTTATTTGTCTTTTATTATTATTGTGTTGTAGGAGTTCTTTACATATTCTAGATACAAGTTCCTAATCAGATAAATGATTTGCAGATATTTTCTCCTATTCTGTGTGTTGTCTTTACTTTCTTAATGGTGTCCTTTGAAGCACAAAAGAAGAGTCAATGATAAGAAATACATTTAAAGAATGTAACTTATAGCCAGCTTTTTTAAAAAGGAATCACCTAAAATGAACTTCCTGGGTGATTCTGACATCTTGCATTATTAAGAAAAACAATGAGTAAGTTTGAGATGGCTTATGTTTTTAATTTTTTAGCATATAAATGGGCTAACTGATATGTTTTGCTAGGTAATTTTGTTTGGTTCAGGTGGAACTAGGAATATTGAAGTATTTCTTAACTGATGGTACTGATAAATATCTTGGGAATGTGCAGGTAAAAGGATATGTTGCTGGCATTCTTATTGAGGTTAGAGAGTAAGAGGCTAATGGCTGCTGAAAAGGGACCTTGGTCATCTCCCCTATAGTTGAGAATTTGGTCCTGTTTTTCAGTTCTAGAAACATGAATTTGTTTGGGCACCCAGAATTGATCAGACTCTCAGCACCTTGTTCTTTTTAATCAAACTCAGAAGTGATTGATATGTAAAACATATCTCCATTTGGAAAGAGTGTGTGTCTGTGTCTATGAAAGAGAGACAGAGATTGCATAACTGAGATATTTATGTGCCTTCCAAGGCTCTCCTTTCCCATTATCAAGGTACTTAGGAGGCTGAATCAGTGATTATAAAGTTTTCTTGATGAGCCTGGAATTTAAAACAAAGGGAGGGAGGAACAGGATGATGCCGATGATCGTAAGTGATATTTCATATAGGCTTTAGAAAGATGAATTAGGGAGAGAATTCTGCTTGGCAGTTTTAAGAATTCTTATGCTTTATTTGGAGCCCTGGTGGCGCAGTGGTTAAGAGCTCAGACTGCTAACCAGAAGGTCGGCAGTTCAAATCCACTGCCCGCTCTTTGGAAACCCTATGGGGCAGTTCTGTTCTGTCCTGTAAGGTCGGTATGAGTTGGAATCGACTTGATGGCAACGGTGTTTTGTTTTTTGTTTTGTTTTTAATGCTTTATTTATTTAATTTATGCATTACCCTGCTGTGATATCTCCCACTGAAAAGCACACAACCTGCTAGATTACAAACCTGTTCATACAGGACTCACAAATACCAGCCTTTCAGTGGTCCCTTGTCAAAGTGCTTTACTTCTTTACATAGCTAATCCCACTCACTGTTCATTCAAATAATTGAGCAGCTACCATATTGTGAACACAGTACCTGGCTCTGGGTATACTTTGAATAACACTGGTGTAGTCCCTGCCTTCCTGATGAGCTCACTCTTGCTCCTTTTACTTACGACAAGCATGAAATTAAACTGTCTACTTATGTGGTGCTTGACCCTCTAATGAGTTATTCTTTCTTTCACAGCAATGGCACAAGCATGATATCATTGATCATTCCTCCCAAAGACCAGATATCACGAGTGGCAAAAATGTTAGCAGATGAGTTTGGAACTGCATCTAACATTAAGTCACGAGTAAACCGCCTTTCAGTCCTGGGAGCCATTACATCTGTACAACAGAGACTCAAACTTTATAACAAAGGTAATCTGGAGCTTGATCATTTTCCTCCTTTACTTTGTCCATCTTGGTATTTTCCACTTTGATGCTGCCATCATGTTTTGGCTACTAACTGGTGCAACTCTCATCAATATCCCTTTGACCTTGGTGTTTAACTTTACCTTTTTTTTTTTTTTTTAAGTGTATTTGTTGAAAGTTAAGTCGTATTTATTGTACTTAAAAGGGATAAATCCTACCTGAAACATCTCAGAGCAAGTTTCAAAATTAGGAAGAGAATCTGCCTGAGAGATTTAAAAATTATTATGTTTTAAATTATGAAATAGATGGGCAGGGATCATAGGTTGTGGGAAACATTTCCTGTTACCTGAGGGAAATTGGCTATGGGTTTAAGTGGAGATATTGTTTATGTTCTTTGCAGTACCTCCAAATGGTCTGGTTGTTTACTGTGGAACAATTGTAACAGAAGAAGGAAAGGAAAAGAAAGTCAACATTGACTTCGAGCCTTTCAAACCAATTAATACGTCATTGTATTTGTGTGACAACAAATTCCATACAGAGGTAAGAAGTTCAAGCATAGAACATTTTCATCACCCCAACAAGAAATTCATTAACAGTCACTCTTCATTCCCCCCAGCTACCCAAGAGATAGGCAACTACTAATCTCCTTTTTGTTTGGGCATTTCATAATAATGGAATCATACAATGTGTGACCTCTTGTGACTGGCTTCATTCATTCATAATGTTTTCGAGGTTCGTCCATGTTGTAGCATGCATCAGTACTTTACAGAATGGAATTGCTGGGACATATGGTAACCCTCTGTTTACCCTTTGAGAAACTGCCAGGCAGTTCCCAAAAGTGGCTGCACCATTTTTTTCCACCAGTAATGAAAAGTTCCATATCCTCACCAATACTTCTTATTTATTATCTGTCTTTTTTTTTTATCACAGCCATCCTTAGTCGGTGTGCAGTGGTATCTTCTTGTGGTTTTGATGTGTATTTTCCTAAAGATAAATGATGTTGAGCATCTTCTTGTGTGCTTATTGGCCATTTGTCTATCTTCTTTGGGAAAATATCTATTCCAATCCTTTGGTCATTATTAAGCTGGGTTATTTGTTTTTTATTATTGAGTTTTAGGAGTTATTTACATATACTAGATACAAGTCTCTTACCAGATACATCATTTGCAAATATTTTCTCCCATTCTGTGAGTTAAATCTTTTTGCTTTCTTGATAGTGTCCTTTGAAGCATAAAAAAGTTCTTAATTTTGATGGAAGTCCGATTTATTTTTTCATGTTGCCTGTCTATGCTTTTGGTATCATATCTAAAAAGGTTTTGCCTAACCTGAAATCACAGAGATTTGCTACTGTGTTTTAGTTTTATAGTTTTAGCTCTTACATTTAGACATATGATCAATTTTGATTTAATTTTTTTATATGGTGTGAGGAATGGGCCCAACTTCCTTTTTTGAATGTGAATATCCAGTCTCAGCCCCATTTGTTGAAAAGGCTATTCCTTCTCCCATTAAATTGTCTTGGCACCTTTGTCAAAAATCAGTTGAAGATAAATGAGAGTGTTTATTTCAGGGCTTCCTAATTAATTTTTTACATAGTTTTAACCCTAGAATTCCAGGTCATTAGTAGTTAAGGGCTTGAGAAAAGCATGTAAAAAATACTAGTTTTGCAAGGCGTCTGTTTTAATGAAAGGGGGACACATACTTGAAACCTTGTGTTTCATATTCTGGGTATGTAGAACTTTGTTTATCAGAGCCTGGACGAGGGTACGCAACTGTCAGGGTCGTGCAAGACCCTGCATGATCCCACGAGTGAGTGCCTCAAATTTTGCAGCATTAAGCATCTCCTTTGCCTTACCGTAGTCTTGGCCTTATTGGTTTACAAACAAGGGAATTTCTTGAGTTTTTGTAAGATCTACTTCTCTACCAATTTGTTCTTACCATTTTAATGAAGAATTAAAATGTTACCACTCCAAATATTCTGTGATTAAACTGGAAAAGGCCCCAGTGTTGTGTTAGGGTTAGGAGACAAATCCACTACTCTTAGCAAAAGTTGATCAATAGCCTATCTGAATCCCTAGATGAAATAGGGGAGGAGGCCTGTAAGAGAAGTTCAGTAAAAGCATGTAATAAAAATGCCATTTTGCTGGAACATTTGCTCCAACCAACCCTTTGGGAAAACCAGGTTTCTATTATCTTCTTCAGTCTTGAATTTATTATGACACCAATCATTCACCATGTTTGGGGAGAGTGCTAAACTGGGTTTGGAGAACTAATTAGAGACAAAGAAGTAATTGATTAATTGATTGCCATCTCTCCCTGTATGCCTACGTTTCTTGCACCCTTCGTTTTCGGCTCACAGATAGTAAATCTTTTAATAGTAGGACTGTAAGAGCTTATTTTAATCACACTTTTGAGTGACAAAGCAGCCATAAGATGAACTTTAATGGTGGAAAAGAAACCTCATTAGAGTGACCTAAATCAGTCAACACTGGAACAATCAGGAATTCACAGCTGGCTCCTAGTTCAGTCTCTTGCTTTTCATCAACCTAGGGAAAAACTCTACAGTGGATTTAGAACTGGCATTTGTCGACACAGTTTACAGTGGCTGATTTTTGCTAAATTGACAGGACTTTCAATTCCAGTTGGATCTTGGTCGACTGCATAGAAAGTTGAGACTTTTTCTCTTAGCTACCTCAGCCTCCTCCTGGTAGAGGCTTCATTGGGGAGGCTCTTAGCTACCCTGTCACACTTATCTGTATGTGGTTAGATAAAAGCAGATTTTGAATCTTGTTGATTTAAACAGTACCTGGCACTCAGGTTATCTGCCTTTAGCTCACTTATTAAGTTAGCCTTATTGGTTTTTCTAAACCTCATAATCTTGATAGCTTTTGTTTACTTCGGCTTTAACAGATATACCGGTAACTAGAAATGAATGTAGCATACTGCACAACACAAGTTACGCCCTGCTTAATCTGTTTGATTATATATTCTTATGAGGGACAAATCTATTCCCTGATGAGGGAACTTTTTAAAAACTTCAATCAAGCTACCTAACAAAGATCATTATGATAAGGCTGTCTTTTTCACATGTACAGTATTCATGACTTAATGCTAATTATCAAGCATGGTTTGGGTAGGATAAAGATTGATTCTTAGTGATTAATCTGCTTGCTAGTCAGTTCTTGAAGGAGCTATTTTCTTCCTTAGTTAAATTGAAATAGGTAATAATTTCTTAGTTCTAAAGGGGCCGCCACCTAGCAATTAGTGATCTGCCAAGCTTGCAGCATTCAGACTTCATCGTGAAAACTTCTCTGTGGGTCCCAGACTGTTTTAATATTTGCTCTTTTAGGAGGCAAAACCATGGAGATATAATGCTATTTCAGAAGAAGAGTTTTCACCATAAAAACTCAGAATCATTAGCTGTTAATACCATTAAAATAAAATTGAGGTTTGAGTCTCATATACGAGTATTAATGATGCTCAGTACACAAGAGTTAAATGTAACATTTCAAAACCAGAATACCTTTTTATAGACTTTCTGGGTTTTGTACTCATGTACTCTAGAATTGATTTACAAGATATTTGCCTTGGAGAATACTGCCTATTCATGCTGGGGTTACTAATGAGAACAGAGAGTCAAACTTTGAAAGTTAGAGCCTTAATTTGAATTTTATGCTCCATAGACTATCATCAGTCTAAATCAAATCAAGGGCTAGGAAGAAGTTGAGCCCTACAACTCTATATTGGTTTTGTATTTACATGCCCTGGTCAGGTGTGGAGCCCTGGTGGTACAGTGGTTCAGCTTTTGGCTGCTAACCAAAAGATCGGCAGTTTGAATCCACCAGCCGCTCCTTGGAAACCCTGTGGGGTAGTTCTGCTCTGTCCTGTAGGGTTACCATGAGTCAGAATCAACTCAGTGGCAATGGGTTTTCTTGGTCAGGTGTGTTGAAGGGCTTCATATAGGTTCCATTGGTTATTTCTACAACAGATTCTATATATTTATAGTTGAAGTCTATAAATTATTCCATAAAATGGTTTTGCCATAGTACTTATACTGTGATGAGTAGGATGAAAAGGTTTGTATATATCCTTTTGGGTTTTGTCTTGACCTTAGCAGAAAGCTTTGGGGCTTATTGTATGGTACATGTGTTCATTTTTCAGGCTCTTACAGCGCTACTTTCGGATGATAGCAAGTTTGGCTTCATTGTAATAGATGGTAGTGGTGCACTTTTTGGCACACTCCAGGGAAACACAAGAGAAGTCCTGCACAAATTCACTGTGGATCTTCCAAAGAAACACGGTAATATAGGAGGAGAACATGAGCCCACTTACCCTGTGTTTAGCAATAAGGAAACAGGTATATGGGGGAGAAAGTAAACCCAGATGATGTAGAAAGAAGCATTACAGAATGACTGATGACTCAGTGGTGCTTGTGGCTTTTCTCTTGACATCAGAATTAGTTATCACTTTCTGAAAATGAGTAAGTTTATGCTAAGCATCCAGTTAAGGGAATACTGATTTTTCTCTTTGTACTTTCCTTGGGTAATAGCATGATTGATTAACTTATTTTTTAATTAGCAACATGTCTTGTACTTCTTAATAATTGCCTTTTTCTCTCACCACTTTTTTATGTCAAAGGTAGAGGAGGTCAGTCTGCCTTGCGTTTTGCCCGTTTAAGAATGGAAAAGCGACATAATTATGTTCGGAAAGTAGCTGAGACTGCTGTGCAGCTGTTTATTTCTGGGGACAAAGTGAATGTGGCTGGTCTCGTTTTAGCTGGATCAGCTGACTTTAAAACTGAACTAAGTCAATCTGATATGTTTGATCAGGTAAGTGAGAAATAGGTGCCCCGTTATTTAAGTCTACGTGAGAGTGGGCGAGTCCTCTGTATGAGCACTAAGACATCTTTTTGACTCTTATAGTATTATACTCCCTGTATTAAAAACCTAGCTCTGAGTTAAAAGATGGTGTATTTCCAAGTTTTTACTAGGAAACATTCCCCGTGCTTTTCTGGACTTCTCTCTTTTGAAATTAGCCATTTTTAGGTGGGATCATTCTGGGCCCTGTGGAGGTCCCCTGGTTCAGTGGGTTGCTATAATTGACTTAAAAATGGAAGTTGATTTCATGGAAACTAGAAGCTAGCTTTTCTGTCTTTTCCTCATTTATTTATGGAGGTAAGTGAAGCAGTGAGACTTTCAACAATATGACAAAACTGAGTAAGCCTAAAGCATTTAATACCAGAAAGATCCTGTGGTTTATGACACAGGTTTAGGTTTAGCCCCCTAGGGTGTTCTTCTGGAAGAGACAGCATTATGGTAGGAGGCACACCAAAGAAGCTGGTTTGGTACTGTGTTATCTTGTTTGGCAGGAGGTTTTCCTTACACAAGAAATTTTACTTGTTTTTAGTGCACCGTTGCTCACTGCAAGAACAGCTCTTGAGTAAATTGGGCTTCTTCCTCATATTCTCTCTCTTCAGTGATTGTGGTCCTGGGCTTTTGCATGCCATTAAGAAGTAAGTGGGTCTTGGTAAAAGTGTTTTGAATGTACTAATGAGATTTTTTTTTTTTTTTTTTTAATTGTGTCAGAGGTTGCAATCAAAAGTTTTGAAATTAGTTGATATCTCCTATGGTGGTGAAAATGGATTCAACCAAGCTATTGAGTTATCTACTGAAGTCCTCTCCAACGTGAAGTTCATTCAAGAGAAGAAATTAATAGGTATCAGTAAAATTCAGCTGATTTATTTATCCTGTAGATGTTTTTGTATGTATATATACCTGATTGTATATGAAACAAAATGCTGAATGGATACGTGAAAGTCAGATTTAGCATTTTTATTTAATAGGGTGATGAATAGGCCCAAATTAAAAATTAATGTAGCTGTTGTTTATCCTTGTTTCTGATTTAACTGAACATAACATTTCCAAATGATTGCACATTTCCAAATGATTGCACATTTGGGGCCAGTTGTTACCTCTTGAAAATCAGTTTATGGAGCCTCAGATAATGACATAGTTTTCACTGATTTTTGGTACTTACTCAGTTTTCTAAGTTTTGGGGTGTTTTGTTTGTTTGTTTCTCTCTCTCTGATTTTGAGTATGAGACTCTGTATCTGCAAGAGAAACTTCACTGTATATGTTGTTATTGACCTCTTCTTAAACACAGGACGATACTTTGATGAAATCAGCCAGGACACGGGCAAGTACTGTTTTGGAGTTGAAGATACACTAAAGGCTTTGGAAATGGGAGCTGTAGAGATTCTAATAGTCTATGAAAATCTGGATATAATGAGATACGTTCTTCATTGCCAAGGCACAGAAGGTATGAGAATTAGAAAGTACGGTTGCTGTTTGTTACTGACCTGTGCATTCAGGAAGCCTACAGTGGAGAAATGAGAGAAATGGCCAATTTCACTACCAATCAGAAGGCAGCTCCTACCCCTTGCCCCCCACGCTTTCAGTCTTTATGAGATTTTTCTGCTTGAACTGTTTGATGTCTTCTTGCTGCTATTGTTAGTTGCTGTCAGGTAGACTCCAGCTCATGGCGACATGTATAGCAGAATGAAACATTGCCCATTCCTGCGCCATCTCTGTAATCTTTGATATGTTTAGGCCCATGGTTGCAGCTGTTGTGTCAGCTCATCTTACTGAGGATTTTCCTCATTTTCACTGACCCTCTACTTTACCAAACATGATGTCCTTTTCAAGTGATTGGTCTTTCCTAATGACATGTCCACAGTGAGCAATACAAAGTCTTGCCATCCTCACTTCTAAGGGGGATGCGTAAGATAGTTAAATTTCCTGAGGACCAGGACTGTATCATTGATGTCTTTGGTGTTTTCTTATGATAGGATCAGTGTACCTGGTGGACACTCAGTGCATGCTAACTAACATGCTTATGAAAGAAAGTTTATAGGATGAAATCAGGAGCTCTCTCCCTAACCTCGTCTCATGGGGCTAACACCTGTTAATATGTGAGAACCAAGTTGACATGTTTTTTCCCCCCTGATACTGCAGAGGAGAAAATTCTCTATCTAACTCCAGAACAAGAGAAGGATAAATCTCATTTCACAGACAAAGAGGTATGTGATTGTTTTCTTGGTTTGGTGATACATGCAAGGAAACATAAATCTGTGTGTTAAAGTTCTGGCAGCACAGAGTATCTGCCTTGGGAAACCAAACCTCATACTTGTTGGGGGGTCAGTGGGAGGTTATCAACTCATATTTTTAAAGTAGTTAAGCAAACAGGAAAACATTCTCATCCTTTAAATAGTAGAGAGGAAGGTTTAATGGGATAGTAACTCCCCTGTGCTGTGAAATCTCTTCCACCAAAACAGCTTCTCCAGGTTTGGTCTAAATGTTTCACCACAGCTTAAAGGGTCACTTTCCCCGGGGAGATCCCTTTAAGTGGTAGCTTCCTCACATTCCAAGTTGGAGGGCTTTGCTCTTAAGTAGGCTGCTCCAAAGAGCAGTTCTGGCACATCTCTTCTGGGCTGTTGAATGAGTGCTGCCTAAAGACACTTTACAACAGCCAGACTTCTAGAGTCAGCAGCAGAAATCTTAAGTTGAAATCTGCTAAGTTTGCGTTGATATTTCATAACCAAGTCTAGAGCTTGGGGAAGAGTATTATTTGAAATAGTCAGAATTTCTATGCTATTACAATTATGTCACCAGAAACCAGAATTCACCTAGAGAGTTTTGTACATACATTCACACATAATGTGACAGAGGGAGAATGAGAATAATGGCTGGGTTGGGAGGTGGCATAGGAGGAACTAAGTCTTGATGTCTCCTAATCCCATTGTTTACGTATCTCATGGTCGCCCCTACAGACAGGACAGGAACATGAGCTGATTGAGAGCATGCCCTTACTGGAATGGTTTGCTAACAACTACAAAAAATTTGGAGCTACATTGGAAATTGTCACAGATAAGTCACAAGAAGGATCCCAGTTTGTGAAAGGATTTGGTGGAATTGGAGGTGGGTAGCAAATCAGAAAGCTGCACTTAAAACCAGGGTCTTGAGCCAGAACCAGGGTCTCAGTCCAGGGTCCTTCCCTGGGTATTGTCAAATACGTTCCTTCAAATTAGATGTGCTCACCATCTTTTAAACAGGCAGCACATGACTTCAGGTTTGGGCTATTTTTTATAGTCACCTTTTTCCCCTGTAATTCTGCCAGGGAATTGGGCTTTCCCTTATTAGTGTGAACCTTCTCCACGCCATGACTTACCCTTTGGTTTGTTTCCCCAGGTATCTTGCGGTACCGAGTAGATTTCCAGGGAATGGAATACCAAGGAGGAGACGATGAATTTTTCGACCTTGATGACTACTAGGTAGTCGACATGGGTCCGGCAAAACGTGCCTCACCCTCCAGCATCCAACCCAAGGAGCATACCCGTGGTGGAAACCAAACAGATCCCTGCCTTACAATTGGAACATTTCCAGAACTTAATCCACAAGCATTGGATATTGAAAAGAAAACCGAAACAAAACCAGACCCAACCCTACACTTTGGTTTGTCATGGTGTCAGCGCAGCAGCCTACAACTAAGTTCCTAAATGCCACTATGGACTAATTTAAAAAAGAATCCCAGTTTTTACTTTTACTTGATGGT